TACCCAGATACCATTTCCAAACCTCTCAACAATATTGCAGAGGCCTGGGGATTTAGCTCAGTGGTTCTGCCACCTGCCCCGCAAGCTCAAGGACCCGAGTTCGATCCCTGGTACCAACAAAAACAAAAACAATATTGCAGATTGGGGAAGATGAATCTGGGACCTGAGGAAGAGACATTTGCCTCGAGGTTGCCATCAGCATAGCTCTGAGCTTCCTAGCAAGCAGTGGGAAAAGGGAAACAAATTAGGCTATAGGAAGAGAGGTTTCTCTTGGCACCTGGAGGAACTGACCATTCTGTTCCTTATACAAGGGCTGAGGAGTGATATGATGGGTTTGTCGTGCAAAGGACAAGTCCCCAGATGGTGGAGAGCAGTTATACCAAACCCGTAAATCTTCACCTGAGCAAAGGAAAGGAAGAAAAGGTGTTGGGATTGAGATCTTCAGAGGCTAATGTACTTTCTTTGGCATTAGCTTGAAAGGAGAGGAAATTTTTGCTTTGCTTTTACTAGAAGCCTTAAAATCAATAGTTTGTTTTTTGGTTGGTTTTTTTTTTTTTTTGGTACCGGGGATCGAACTCTGGTCTTTGCACTTGCGAGGCAGGCGGGGGAACTACTGAGCTAAAATGAGTAGTTTTTAAAAAGTAAAAATCTTCATTCCTTTTGGAACTGTGCTGTGCTACAAAGGCAGTGTCCTGAGGATTAGAGCCCTGGGCACCCAGGGAGTATGGTCCGTGGGACTGGATACCACATCTGAATCTTGTAGAGAAAGGTAGGATGCTCAGTAAAAGTGCAGGTGGCCAGGCCCCACCCCAGCTTGCTGAATTGGCTCAAGGCAGGGACCTGGATGCCAGAGGAGGTGTCACCGCCACCTGATGCACAGTAGTCCCCAGAGCCCAGCCCCTGCTTCCCTCTGCAGACGTGGAGACTGGAAACCCAAAGTGAGGAAATAACTTGTCCCAGGTCTCCTGATCACAGAGCAGCTCAAATCTGGAGTGTCTCCTTAAAATTAATTGAGTTCAGCATGGGGCAAAATGCCCTTCCATGCAGACGGCCGCAGACTGGCTCTGAGGTTGTCTTTACTATGTCAGGATAAGGGTGATGGCAGTGAAACAGATGGACTCTTTTGAGTAGAGATGATATGCATTTGTGGCTTATTACAGAAATCATGAAACTGATATATTAGGAAGAAGGCTAGGCCCAGCATAGTGGTACACCCATGTAATCCCAGCGCTTGGGAGGCTGAGGCAGGAGGATTGGCTCAAGTTCAAAGCCAACCTGAACTACACAGTGAGCCCTGTTCTCAGCCACACAGCCCCCCCCCCAAAAAGGCTTTTGATTGAAGTAGCAGAAAACCTAACTCAGATGACATAAGGAATAAAGACTGTATTTGCCAGGCACACCAGTAATCCCAGCACTCTGGGAGGCTGAGGCAGGAGGATCAGCCTAGGCAACTTAGATATTTAGTGAGACCCTGTCCCAAAATGAAAATTTTAAGTAGGAGAGCAAGGCTGGGGATAAAGGTCCTGGGTTCCATTTCGAGTACAAGAAAAAAAGTTAATAAGTTAAAAGTCCAGGTGTAGAGCCCTGTGTTGTGTAATCCCTAGTTCTATCACTGTCTCATAGTCAAAGATGGCTACCAACAGCTCCCCGAATGAGATGTTCTCCCACAACCACTGAGCCAAACTCTGGGCTCTGGGCCAGGGAACCATCCCTGAATCACTTCCTGTGGCCAGGTGACTGCCACTGCTGATTAGCCTGGGGCTCAGAAACCAGCCCAATCACTGTGACCAGGGAATAACGTTAAGCTGATTAGTTTGGAACAGTCCAATGCCATACCTGGAGCAGAGGTGGACCTATCCAAACTTCAGGTTAGAGTGCCACAATGTCAGCCACCTGCAGAGGGTGCTGTGCCATTCTCCATGAGTCCAGTGAAATCAGAGTGTGATGGCATCTTTTGATGGTCTTTGAAATGAAGATGCCATGGGCTGGGATGGTGTAATTGATAGCTGGTATTCGGGCAGAAGACTGAGCACAATAGAACATGTACCTCTAATCACCCCTCCCTTGCGTCCCTAAGGAGGGAATGTGCAGATGATGCAAACTAGGACAGTTACACTTGCTCCGCAGTCCTTGGGGAGCTCTGGCCCTGTGTCCCAGCATGAGGCCAGTGGGACGGGCTGCAGCCTCAGAAACCTCCCCTCCCTGGTGGGCAGGCCCAAGCCGCTCAGAACCAAAGCCAGCCAAAATGCCCTGCCGCCCACTTCGCCAAGCCCGAACCTGAAACCTGGAGCTTCCCACCTCCCTTACAGGCAGGGAAAGGACCAAGATTCCAGAAAGGGGAACAGAGCCGGCAGAAAACATTTATCCCAGGCCACCCCTCACCTTTCCAGGCAGAGCAGAAGCCCCTAAACCCCTCAAGCACAGAGATCCCTCTAAACTGCTTAAAAAAAAAAAAAAAAAAAAAAAACCCAACAAACAAAAGGCATGGAAGAGGGCCCACCTGCTCTTGATGGTCCTCAGTACAGTGAGGCAGACATATTAAATCCTTCACCGGAACTTCACCTCCTAGAGCAGGGGACTTAAGCAAAATGTCAGCACTCCGGAGAGGAAGGGGCAGCTGTGGAGGGCAGAACTGGCAGGTGGAGAGGTGAGGAACGCCTTACTGAGGACTCACCTAAGAAGGTGCACTAGAGGGAGCTGGGGCAGATGTTGGGCATCCCCAGTGGCCTCTGTGTATTCATTCAGTAAGCTCTGCACCCCTATTCCACTGTGGGTGTTTTACTAGGTGCTAGGGCACAATGCTGAGTAAAGCAGATGAGGCTCCTACCTCACAAGTGGGAGTTTCTCTCTAGCAAGTGAAAACAGGAAACATGTTTAGAGTCAGACCAGAGGTAGTTCTAGGGTATGGTGTAGGCTCTGTTTTCTGAATTTCTGAGCTCCCTAATGCTGCCTTTAAAACAGAGGGCTGGAAAGGGCCAGCTGGCAGCCCAAGCTCATGACGTCAACGTCTGAATTATAAAAAACGCCAGATGTGGTTGCTCGTACCTGTAATCCCAGCAGTCGGGGAGGCTAGGAGGCTAAGCCAGAGGATCAAAAATTCAATCCCAGCCTGGGCAACTGGATGACTTAGCAAAGCCCTGTCTGAAAATTTAAAAATTAAGGAGGAGGGCCAGGGATTTAGCTCAGCGGTGCCGCCACCTGCCTCACAAGCACAAGGTCCTGAGTTCAATCCCTGGTACCAAAAAATAATAATAATAATAATAATAATAAAGGAGGAGGGAGTTGCTGGAGATGTAGCTCAGTGCAAAGACCCTACAGTCAATCCCCAGCATCCCCCACACAAAAAAAAGCTGTTACAGAAAAGACCCTGGAGATCCCTAAATTTCACCTGCTCATTCATGGTAAAGAACCTGAAGCCCAGAAGGAGGAAAAAGTACCATTCATGTATAACACACTTTTTGAGCATCTCTGTTTTTGATGCTGTGGTAGAATGACAGCCACTTCCCAAGATGAACGGGGCCCTCCAACCTCTCCATCCCCAGAGTACATGGGTCTTCCAGGACTAGGAGCAGCACTCCTGCAGCCCAAATCTTCCTACAGCCTCACCCCCAAAAGACCTTGAAGCTGATGCCCTTCATGTGGGCCTGAAGTTTTAAGATCTGGTTGACATAGAGCTGGGGGTGTAGCTCAGTGGTGGAGCACAGGCTGAGCATGCAGGAGCCTGGGCTCAATCCCAGCACCAAAAAAGAAGAAATAAAGAAGATCTGGAGAACGCACTGTGAGTGCCTTAGAGACAAACAGCCCTGGGGGGAGGCACAGTGACTGCTGGAGGGATCAGCAGGACTGGCACATGAAGTCTATTTTCCATGTGTCTGGAACCAGGCCGAAGCTTCCTGGAGTAATTTTAACCAGTATCCACTCTAGAACAATACCAAAAAAGGTAAGTTAGTTACCATGCCAGACAAGTACATACCTAACCTTTGGTTTTCATGAATTAGATCCTTAAAACATCCAGCACTAAAGCTGCTTTAAGCACTGAAGCTGGAACAGTCAGGTCAAGTATTCCTACACTGAGCTGTCGGCCCTTTCATTGAGGTTAACTCCACAGATCTAGCTATTCTTACCCCCAGAACAGTCCAAGCCCCTCAGCTGTCCTGGGGAGGGAGGGTATTTTTAGCCCCTAGGACAGCTGATCAGGGATTTGCTGAGGGTTAGAGGGCCCAGGAGGAGATTTGAATTGCAAGGGACTAAAGGGGGAAGTGAGAGGTTAGCATCAAGGAGCAAGAGCCAGATAGGCTTTAGGACAAATCAGTCGCACTGCCTTTTTGGATCAGCAGTTTCTTGATAGAAGCCAGTGGTTCCCAAAGTATGGTCCCCAACCAACAGCAGCATCACCCAGTGAAAAAGAACCACTACATAAAAATGAAAAATAATTCCTAGCTAAATCAGCACCTCTAGGGCTGGGGCCCCGAAGTCTGGTATCCCAAGCCCTCCAGCTGGTTCTGAGGCTGGTGTGAGTCAGTGACACCAGTAAACCAGCTAACCAGATGCCCTTGGGGACAGGGCTGGAGGAAAGAATAATCTATCTATACTGTCCCCTCTCAAGCCTTGTTCAAAGCCAGAGATCCCCTGTCCAGAGAAAAACATACATAAATTAGGGGCTCACTGACCCAGGTTGGAAACCCCTGCTCTTGGGCAACCTGGAGGCCCTTCTTAGGGCCGAAGTCTACTCTGCAGAGAATCTGTGAGCTGAAAGAGTTCTTAGGAATCATTATCAGAGCAAGGACTGGCTCCACAGCGCCCTGAGAGGCTCCGTTCTGGCTGGACCCTTTCAGAACCCACAGTGCACAGTGTCAAGAGTGCTTGTTTCCTGGGATCCATGAGCTCATCCTGTAGAGTTAGCTTCTGTCAACTCTTACGCTGGTTTATGCCAACGAAGCTTCGATCATATGGCTGAAATAGAGGCTTATGGAACCAAATGAACAGAGATATGCCTTATCTTAAATGTTAGAAACGAATGCAGTATTTTAATGGCCTGTCTCACTGTTGGAGAACTCAGAGTAATGGAAAATCCTCTTTATATTGACCTGATATCTGACTCCCCAGGATCTCTAAGCCCCACCCCAATTTTTTCTTTCAGCCACAAAGAGCAAAGCCGAAGCATTGCTTTACAAAGGACAGCGTTCGCTCTCAGCAGCCTTGCGGTGGCCAGTGCGGGAGAGCTGGGTCCACACTCAGAAGATGCAGGTACAGCCCACGGCGATGGTCTCCATGACGGCGCGCTGGCGGCAGGGCCCGGGGCGCGGCGGCGCCGGGCAGAGGCGGCGGCGCACGGGCACCTGGCTGAACACCGGCACGCTCACCATGCTGCGGTCCTCCTGCATGGTGAAGGGGTTCACGCAGCCCAGACACAGGCACCGAGCCTCGGGCAGGTCCGCAGGGATGCGGCTGGGGTCGTGGTTGATGCTGCGGGGAGCGAGCAGGAGAGGGCACGGGGTGAAAGTGGGCAGGAAAGAGCAGGGGCAGCCTCCTCGCTTCTGGGCCGCTCCAACCCGAGCTGGGGTTCCCACAGCAAGACTGGAAACAGCCTTAGGGAAGTCCCGTGGCCAGGGTTTTCCCGGCTCAGGGTCACCAGTTAGTGCTAGCTTTCTTTTTCCACCCAGTAAGATGCCCACGCCAGAACTAGAGTGCTGTGGCCACCACAGAGAGGCCTAAAGCCTCCTTCTGTTCCCCGCCCCGGTCCTATTTTGATGTTTTGGGGGAATTTTATCTATAGAAGTAAAATGCAAGCATATTGAAGCCTACTGTCCACTGCAAGAGGTTCGATTATGACTTGGTCTGCAGTCTGCTCATTCACCAGGTACTTTTACTCACTCAGCACATGGGCAGTCCTGCCCTAGAATTTAGTTGTTCCTTGTGAACAAAAGAGATGCCCTCCTTCCTGGGGGAAGCCTAGCATGCAGGAATTTGCTCTGTGACCTTACCTCCCTGTGCTTTGGCTTCCTCTTCTGTTAAATGGGAGAGGAGGGTGGGTGACCCAGACCCTAGGAGTCCGCCACATCAGCACCCTTATCGTGCTTAGGAGCTTGTGGGAAATGCAGGACCTCCTGAACCATAGCCAACAGCCAGCATTTTTACAAGATCCCAGTAATTCACCCACACAGGAGAGTGTGGGAAGCTGGACTCTTATTGATCCTTACTGATGCTCCCAAAGGTCAAATTCCAGGCAGCAAGGTGCAATACAGTAGCCCCATGTGCCAACTTTAAATTAATCAAAATTCAGTTCTACGGTTTCAGTAGACACATTTCAATTGCACGGTCTCCACCTGAGGCCGGTTGACTTTACACCGTGGCAGAACATTCTAGTCAACGGGACTACTCTAGGGTGTCTGGCTGTAAGTTGTACAGCTGGAAGATCTTTGGCCTGGGTCTGTGAGTGAGCCCATTTCAACACTTATTTATACACCATCATGTACCAGGCACTGAACTAGGAAGTGGAGCTGGAACCAAGGTAAGACACTGCTTCCATCACCCAGGGCGGCAGGATTGATTCTCAAGTCAAAACCCCACTGTGCGTCTGAATCATATGCAGATACACAGTGATACCGTGTTCCGGGCAACACCCTGGAGAACTGATTGGGTGAGGCATGGGAACTCAGGTGATTTTGGTGTAGGCATTAGGAGGGTCCCTGTCTTGGCATGAGAGAGACACGAACACATCCAGCAATGTCCCATGAAGAGCTGTGACTGAGAAGTGACCACATTGCTGGACAGAGTGACATTTGGGGAAGGCCTTGCATGCATTTAAGCTAGGACTTCTGGAACAATTAGGGGAGTGCTCTGCCTGGAGATACTTTTACAACAAGTCTGTGAAGAAGGTACCATTATCACCTCCATTTACAGTTGGGTAAACTGAGATTCAGAAAGGCTAATCAAGTAGCTCAAAGCCTCACAGCCAGTAAGAGACAGAGTCAGAATTCAAATCCACGTACTGAGACTCCTGAATCCAGGGTCTTGCCTGTCCGGATGATGGGGACAGCAGGAAGGCCAGCCTACCTGTAGCCCCAAGGAGACAGGCTCCTCTTGTTGGACAGCCACAGCTGGAGGTTGACCTCACACTTCCTTGTACCTGGCTCGGAGCTGTTTCTCAGCTGTGTCACCATCTCACCCAGGTTCCTCTCATACTCCTCCATGCGGGCGTAGGGCTTCACCCGAGATACCAGGTCCAGGGGCACCTGGTGAGGCCCGGGGGCCAAGGTCCCAGGCCGCCCTTGCCCCTTCCTTTTGCCTTTGGGGCTCCTGGGCTGGCCCAGCCCCAGGAAGATGGAAATGGCAAGAAGGAGAAGCTGGGGAGAAAAGAGCACTGGTTAGAGGTAGGAGAGCCAAGTCTCTGGGCCAAGGCTTGGGGTCCAGGGAGGAGAAAAAAGAGAGCAGGGCTCTTCGGGGGCCACCCTAAGCGGCCACGCCTAGCCTGCCTTGGTCAGTCCGTACCTGCTGCGAACCCACTCTAAGATGCGAATCAGGGACAGCTCCCTCTTCCTCCCTTCACGTCCAAATCATCTTGAAGTCCTAAAAGTAGGGCATTTCCTACCCCACCCTTCCACTTATTCCCTCTCCAGCACTTTACCACCCTCTGACACTGACAGATCTGCCACCTCCTGGCCTCTCTTCCCCTCTGGCCCTTCCACTCAGTACTCCACACCAAGGCCAGAACAACTGTTTGAAAGACAAATGTAACAATGTCACCTTTGCTTAACACTTTTCACATTGCCCTTAGAGGTGTCCCAGGCCCTCCCTTCTTCCTCATAATTCAGCCTCCTCTCAGTCACTTGCTCTCCTGCTTTGGGGACTTTGCACAGGCCACTGCCTCTTCTCTCACCTTTGCAAGTCTGTGTTTGGCTCTAAGGTAACTGCCTCAGGGATGCCTCTGGACTGTCTCGGATTCTCCTAAACACCTCCCCACCCTGCACACTGCATGACTGGCATCTGACATCTGCACGTGTGATTCTTCTGTACGTCTGTCCCCTACCAAGCATAGATTCCCGGAGAGCGTTGATTGGGTCAGTTTTCATACACTGTCTTACCCCCACCACTTCAGCCTGCTGTGGACATGTAAAGGGTGGCCACCACCATCCCAGCCCTTGTATAGCTGACAGTCCAGTAGGGAAATGGCTCTAGTGAGAAGTGCAGGGACAGGCCCTGCAGGGGTGGCTGGAGGAGAGCTAGGTCTTGCTTAGCCTGTGCCAGGCAGCGGTCTAGACAAGCTTTTCTGGGATGGGGACATGCCAGGTGAGGCATGTAGGATAAGAGGGAGGCAGACAGGGCACGAGATGCATACGTGTCTTCCAAGCCGAGGAAGGGGGGAGGGTTGAGTCCACCATAAGCTTTGGTGAAAGGAATGGGTGAGGCTGAAAGAGGAGTGGGCTGGGCAGAAGGGATCATGAGCTGAGCATGGGGAGCTGGGCAGGTCCCCTGCTCCCCATGGGGCTCCATTTCTGGGCCCCCTGCACTGCCCTCTTCCAACCCACTGCTGGCCACCCCCTCCCCAGGCACCGCACATCAGGAAAGCCTGCAGCTCTCATGGAAAGATAGTTCCCCAAGAGCCCAGGGAAAAGGAGCCAGAGCTGGCAGACAGACTAACTTCCAGGTGAGTCTTACTTCCTAGTTGCATCTAGCCAGGCCCACACCTTCCTGAAATCCCTCAGCCTGTGGCCCAGAGGGCCTGACTGATACAGGCTTCCTAGCAAGCCTGGACCCTGAGGAACAAGCTCCAGCACAGCCCCACTTGGCACAAATCTATAAGAGATTCAAGTTACTAAATTTGCCCTTTTTGGTCCTAGATTCTGGTGCAAAAAAAAAAAAATCTGCCTGACAATGGGCTCTCTCATCTGAGCTTCTCACATGCCACTTTTTTTTTTTTTTTCTTTTTCTTTGAGACATGGTCTCACCATGTAGTTCAGGTTGGCCTTGAACTCACCATGCAGCCCAAGCAGGGCTTCATATGCCGTTCTTAAACACTGGCTCTCTGCTCAGAGAAACCCAGAGGAGACTCAGAGCCCCCTCCCTCACTTGCCAGAAGGGAAACAAACAGAAGGACTCGCCCAAGGTCACACAGCCTGTCCGAGGCCCAAGAGGCAGCCTGGAAAAATCCTGTTCTCTGAGCTTGCCAGGATCCCCCCCCAGATGCCTCTGCCTGAAAGAGCTTCAGTGTGGACAGCTGAGCCCCAGTCCAGAGCCCGAGCTACAGGCCGTGGCTGCAGGCTGTGAGACCGGTCTCTGTTCCTTTCTAGTCCTAGAGGAGAAGATGGGGAACACACCACTGCAGACTCCAAGCCAAACAGAGGCGGCCATTAATCAATAGGACAGAAATGCTACAGCACTGGGGCTGAGAGGGTGGGGGCGGGGACGCCACGTACCAGGTTGTGCGGCCAGTCCATCCTGCCTCACCGGTGGTCAGCCTGCAGCTGCCGCCTCCTGGAACCCCAGATGCCGCTGTGGAGAGAATGGCAGCGACAGGATGGAGCGAAGCAATTATAGCTGCCAGGGGGCTGCCGGGGGAGTGGGTGGGTGGGCTCGTCATCAGCTGGGAGGCTCAGGCCCCAGCTGGCTGGGCCTAGTGCAGAGGCAGGCGGCGAGGGCTGTGGGGGCAGGCCAGGAGCGAGGCTGAGGTGCCCAGGGGCTGTTGACCAAGGGACAATGACCTGTGTGTCTGGCAGGGCTCTGGCCAGTAGCATCTCCTCCTGTGGCCTGCGGCCGGTCAGCTGGCCAGCACCCACAGGGCCAGCTAAGACAATCAGCTTCGTTTGCTTTGGGGATAGCCTGGTCAGGGTGGAGAAGGGCTGGTCGGTCGGTGGGTCGGTCGGTCGGTCAGAAGAGGTGTGGGCTCAGGCCAGGACACAGGCCCTATCTCCCAGGGAAACTGCCTCAGGCATTCCCCTCTCTGCCCACTCCACTACTTCACAGATGGGAAACTGAGGCATGAGCACGGGCACGAAATCTGTGCAACAGAGCTAGGGATGGTGATGACAGAGCTAGGGATGGTGCCTTGTTCCCATCCAGAACTCCATCTGCTGCCCCACGTTGTTTGTCTTGGGACATTTCCTGCACAAAACTAGCCTGCTGTGAATCCGTGAGTGTCACACGAGCTGACCTGCAGATCCAGGAGGACCTCATGGCCCCATACTCTCCTGTGGATACAAGGTGTCCCCTCCTAGGGCTGGCCCTTGGTGGCTGCTTGTGACCTTCCTTCTCTTTCAGCCTGTTTCCCTCTCTGTAAAATGGGAGCTATACCCATGAATAGACAATTGCCCGTCACATTGCTGCTGAAGTCTTTCTGAGCCTTAGGTCCCACATTTCTAGAATGGGAATAATCATTCCATCTACTTCTCAAGGCTGCTAGAAGGAATAAAGGAAATAACTCATGTTAAATAGCTGGCATGGTGCCTAGCATATAGTAAGTGCTCAATAAATACTTTGCTGTTTATTATAAAAACTATGATGCAACTATTTTATACCTATGATTACAAACATTAGCCATTCTGATTTGCATTGGCACTAGATTGGTTCTCATCAGTCAGCCAACTGCCCTCTCCACCCGTCACACCCACCTTCCTGGCTGAGAGAGTTTCAGTCTTTCCAGACTCAGACCACAACTTCATGAGCTCAGGTAACCCCAGGGTCCACAGGGCCTGGACTCACATGCTGGCCACGGTCTCTCACCTCAAGTGAGCAGCCGAACGTGAGTGGGCGCGAGTCTACCCAGGGAGGCGGGAGTGGGCAGTGTGAGGTGGACTGGAGGCCCCTGTGAACAGGCAGCGCTGCTCTGTCCTGCAGAGGGCCAGCCCTGGCCATTTACAGGAATTGGCAAAGGGAAGAAGGCAGGGCGAGAGCACTCCTGAGTGTCACAAGATTAATCTGCCCAGGGCAGGTCTCCACAGCATAGTTGAGAGGCTGGCTGGGGCCCGAGCTCTTCGAGAGATACCACCATATTTGGTCAAATACTAGACAGGACTCTGTTCTGTCGCTGGAAACTCCAGAGGGAGGGGGACTCAAAAATACCTCCTTGGGGAACAAGGGCCCCCACCCCAGCCCTGGCGTCCCTGCCCCTCCACCACTCTCCTCCGAGGGGTGAGTGGGGGCGGCCTGGTGGTGTTATTTGGTGGCTTTTTGCTACCCCTCTGCAGCCGGGTGACCTCTCCCCATATCCACAGAAAGTGAGTACTAGGGTTCAGGGGCTCCTCCGCTCCTCAGGACCCCTGAGCCACCAGGCTCCTGACCTGCTGGCACATATATCCCTGACTTCCACCTCCCCAAGCCAGAACTCTGTGGCCTCCCCAGCTCCTGATAATGATTCCAAGATCTCAGCCTGGAGTCCCTGCATTTCAACCCAAACCCAGCCTGGCAGCTGCAGGGGTCCTCACCCTTCTTGTAGCCCACTCCCTCAACCTGTTTTACCAAAAGAGGCTAAAGCCCAGAGAGGGAGGGACTCTGCCCAAGCTCCCTTAGTATGTTTGTGTCAGAGCTTCTGTTGTGCAGTTCTTTTCACTGCACCTCCTTCGGGCTAAGCTAGGCCTCCTGGCTGGTCTGGAAGGGGCGAAAGAGTGAGGCTGAGAGAGCTAGATCCCTCACAACAGGGGAACACAGGGAGCTCCCAGGGCAGGTGCCCAGTGGTCACCCTTGGCTTTCTCATTTCCGGACCATCTCAGGCCGGGAAAGAGCCCTTCCTTCCAGCCTGGGCACCTGGAGGGTCGGTTTCCCTGAGGGACGTCCTGAATGTAAACCGGGCAGCATGGACCCGCGAGGTCAGTGCCATGCCTGAGAGGGAGGCCCAGGAGGCAGCCCGGTGTCTTCCCACACGAGGCTAGGGTCCTTGGGTCTTTGCATGGAGGAAAAGGAGCCGGTGAAGGAGTGAGAATGGGTGGGCTCTAATGTGAGCTGAGAGCCCGGGCTGAGGCCCAGGGGAAGCAGTGCCAGGTTCACCAGCAGGTGGCGCCCGCAGGAAGCCAGACGGCGGTGAGGAGCACGACAAACCCTTCCAGAATGAGGTCAGGCCTGTGCTGCCCCCGGCTTGGCTTGCCGAGAAACCCTGTGATGGATGCACACCAGGGCCCAGGGCACTGTCCTGGCAGAGCAGGAATACACAGCCTGCCAGTGCGGAATGAGACCCTGGGTACGTGGCACATGGGCACCGCGATTCTCTGAAAATGAGTTAGTAATGATAAAGCTGCTGCTTACCTCGCACCTAATTGCCAGCCCAGACACTCTCCTTAACGTGTGCTGTCCACGAAACCTTCACTTTAAGGAGCACCCCACCCTGCATGGAGTAAGGAGACGAGGATGCCATGCCTCCGCCAACATCCTCAAACAACTGGGCCTTCCAAACCAAACTGGAGTTCACAGGGGCTTCGAGGGCTCCTGGCTGTGGGCACAGCAACCCCCGCATCTCTGGTGCATGGAAAGTGCCCATTGAATACTTGATTCACTGGGTCAAACCAACTGCAGTAATAGCTGGGATGGCGAGTGGGTGGCCAGAGCAGGAGCTGCAGACCCCCAGAGTAAACTCAGGTTCCTGGGCTTCCCAGATCTGAGTCTTAGTCCTGTCTCAGTGCCTTCACAGCTGTGTGGGCTTGGGAAAGCTGCTTGACTTTTCTGAGCCTTTAGCTCCTTCTGCACAGCAGAGCTAGTAAAACTTGGCTATCAATTATGGCGAGGCTCAAAAAAGATGATACCATTGAATGCACTCCCTTAACACAATGCCTGGCAAAAGTGAGAGCTCAGTGGATGAAACTGCAGTTGTCATTGCTAGTGTTAAAAGAGGTTTTGAGTTGGGCTTTCAGGGATGCTTGTGGTGTTCCTAGGTGGGAAGGGCCTTAAGAGGTCGGGAGGAGGCTAGAACCAGTGAAAGAATGCAGAGGCCTCTATTCAGTGGGCCCACCTGGGAGCCTCAGCTGGGACTGCAGGACACAAGGGACTTGGTCTAAAACCTTGCCTAAGTAGACCAGGAAAGGTGGAGAGAAGCAGGAGGTGCCTTGGCTGGATGTACCCCCACCACCACCATCCTGGCTCCCCTGCATGCGCCGCCCCCCTCCTGGGCAAGAATTCTTCTCCCAGGCCCATATTTGCACAAATGCCTGCCTCACTGCTCACTCCAGAGCCCCAGCCAAGAGGGGCTATTTTAAGCTCCCTGGATGGGAACATTGTTGGTGGGAACAGCCCCAGCTACAAAGCTCTGGGTTCTCAAAAAAGGGAAAGGCCTGGGTGAATGGGCTGCCCCTGGGATATGCAGAGGGCCTGTCACATCATTGTGCCCCCTGCCCAGGCCAGGTGCCAGTGTCTGCACTGAGAAGTGGGAGTTGGGGTGTTGTCTGAGGGGGTGCTGAGATCTTCCTTCTGGTAGGATCCAGTTCAAAGACACCAAGTTTGTTCTTCTGGGCCGCAGAGTGATTCCACACTATACCTAGTGCCTTGTTAGTGCTCACCACTCCCAGACCATGAGAGGCAGGGAGGTGCCTCATCCAGCCTCTACAAGGGTAGGACCCCTCTGAAGGGTCTGTACTGATGACTTCCCTCCAGCAAGTACTTAATATTTGGCCAATTTGGGCTGTTTGCTTTGTAACTTGGTTTGGCTTGGTGTGTGCCTGTTTGTTATGTGGTGTTTTTGTGGGGGTGTGTGCTATTTTTGTTTTTTGATTCTTGTGAAGAGCCAGTTTAGGCTAATATTTAAAGCACAGACTTTGAGTGACCTGCACCCCAGCCCACCCTGCCCCCCAGTGCAGCAGCTGGGTCACCTTGGGCAAGTGACCTAACCTCCCTGAGCCTAGGCCTCAAGGTGGGCAGGCTGGCAAGACCAAGCTCCCAAAGTGCTGCTCAGGGTGGTGCTCAAGGGACAGCCCTGCTGTTATCTTATTGTACACATTGTTCTTGGCTCTGCCCAGTCAGGAGACACAGAACCATTCTAGTCAGTTCTAGAATTTTCTGGCTGCCAGAGCTAGCTACCAGGAATAGAGTGGAGTGCCCTGCAAAGGAGTGAGGTCCCTATCAGCCCAGACATTGTAGCAGAGCCTGGAGGACTGGTTGGGACACTGTAAGGGTGTGCACGATTAGGAAGAAAATGGCTTTCTTGAGTTTTAAAAGTTTCCTTCCAAGCTGGGTGTGGTGATCCCAGCATTCTGGGAGACTGAGTAGGAGAAGGATCTAGATTTCGAGCCCAGCCTGAGCAATTTAGCAAGATCCTATTTCAAAAGAGAGAGAGAGAGAGAGAACAGGGGCTGATGGCGCACACCTGTGATCCCAGTACTTGGGAGGCTGAGGCAGGAGGATCACTGCAAGTTGAAGGCCAGCCTGAACTATATAGCGAGATACTGTCTCAAAAAACCAAAAGGGGGTGGGCAGGTGTGGTGACACATGCCTATAGTCCCAGCACCTGGGAGGCTGAGGCAGGAGGATCGCCACACTACGAGACCTGCCCAGGATACATAGTGAGTTCAAGTCCA